CGTTGCTTCTTTCCCATCCCCTCCACCAGATTGACCCACATAACTGGAAGACCTAGAAACGACGGTTGGGCGACAGGACAGCAGTGTTTCAGCACTTTATGCTCACTTGAGTTCATTTTAAAGAGGCCGTGTCACGTTTACTGGAACACGTCGACGACGCACTTTCGTGTACAAAAAAAGAAAAATAATCCTCCAGTTACTCACATTTTCTGCCAGGAATGTTAACTCCTGTCTCTCCATCCAGGTCATTCTGCAAGTGGGAGGTGTTTTAGCCCGTGTCCAAAAAGATTTGAACATTCCAAACAACTCAGAGGTGAAATCCAGTTGCCTTTATTCAAGATTTAAAAGTCACAGGAATCCACTTGTAGGAACCCCATGGTTTTAAAAAATCAACTGCTAAGTGGATGTGTGGGGTGTAAAAGAATAGGTATCAGAAAAAGAGGCAGTTTTCTGCGTCTCAAACAGTTTGCCTCAGTTATGTGCTGACCCTAACCCAAACGTGTGGACACAAGTGGACAGGAGGCCCAAGCACCTGATTTGTTTGAAACTGAAAGAAATAGCAAAACCGAGTTCCGAACCAGGCCACTGAGGACAACCGCTGGTGAGAAGGGGGACATAAAACAAATGGACGCGAGACAAATAAGAACTAACCGCCCCAAAGAAATAATAAAAACGAACCACTAAAACAAGACTGATGAAAGGGTGAAACCCTGATAAAAACATAAGGACAAACAACGAATGACTACAATAATTAAACAAATTAAACTACAATAATTAAACTACTTATACATATATGTATTTACATATAACAGATGTAGCTATGGACAAAAAGAAAAAGTGAGCATAAAGATATTAAGCACAACTCAGTGAAACATTTCATATTTTTAATTACAGAAAATAATAACCAAACCTGACTCAGAACCCAGAGTCTGCCCAGAGGCCTCATCAGAAATAGCTTTATGGAAAATCAGCTATATAGCAGACATCTGCAAGTTAAGGGGAAAAAGGAGAGAAGCGGCCAGAATATACCAAATGACTCAGAGTGGACTCAGAATATCAACATTATGGACGCAGTGTGCGGTCATCTGGACAGAGAACAGAACAAAAAGGGATCCAACATTCAAATAAAAGCTTTATTGCTGCTCAGGCTGGGTTGTAGAATAAAGGTGCTCATACTAAATGTTGACAAATCCGTCTTTGCCCTACTGGCAAGATGTAAAAGAAAGGAGGGGGTATCTGGTACGTCACATGATATGACTCACAGTCTGTTCTCAGAGTTTGATCTTTCCGTTCTACCTCTGATCTTTTTTAGTCCTGAGCACTCTCAGGTAAAGTGCCAAAGGAACTAAGAGAGGCTCTTGCTCAGGTCCTGTGTGCTGCATGATAACGCTGTCTGCTAAAATCAGCTCCATTTCACAAGGAAAGTAGTAAATACTGCAATGGGAAGTCGTCAGAATAGGTCATTCCCATATGACAAACGCGGCAGTATATAGCAATTAAATCACATTTACTGCTGAACCTCTTATTTCTAAAATACATAACGTTTTATCTAGAGCTACTTCATTCTTCAAATATAAATTAATCTTACAAAAGACAAACTGTATCAAATTAACAAAAAAACAAACATTAAATCTGCGGGTTGGAAATTATATCAGTCTTAAGTAGAATAATATAGGGCGTGCTAGCATTAGCCGCCCCTGAACACACTCTCTCACATACCTTGCCATCTGTTGACACATGCAGTTGTTCAAAAATAGCCCTCGACCAGAAGCTTCTCAAAGTGTCCAGCAGACAGGCAGAGCAGGACTCCTGAACTCCGTTTGCTCTCTTTGACAAACCGCGGCACCCCGACAGGAGTCGGAACCTTAAATCGACATTTTCTCATGCTTTTTGTCTCCTGCTGGTCGGAAAACTTTCCTCGGATATCCTATTGAAAGTATGCTTTACTTTGTAAACCGGATTGCGAATAATAGCAAACAAGTCTAAAAAAAAAAAAGAAAAAAGTATGGAAGCGTTTTTGGACCAGTTCTCGGAATTTCACCCCATCCATGGAACCAATGTCCGGCTGGACCTCTCGGGAACCCAGGCCACTCGGGTAGACAGCTTTGCTAACGGGGTTTGTTTCAGCAAACGGCCTCTGAAGCCCGGAGAGATTTTCCTCATCGAGATCGAGGACAAGGAGCTGGGATGGTGCGGTCACCTCCGGGTCGGCCTGACGGCCAGGGACCCCAGGAGCTTAAGCGTGGTCCCCGAATACTCCATCCCGGATTTGACCGAACTGGGGGACAGCTGGGTGTTCGCTATAACCCGCAACCACAATAAAGTCGTAGAGGAGGAGGCCGAGGCCCCCGGACTGGTTGAGGGGCAGCGGCTGGGGCGAGGAGAAGCGGAGAATGGGGCTCAGGGAGACAACCTGAAGCCAAAGACCTTCTTCACCGACACCCACTTGCACATCGAGGACGTGAAAATTCCCAGAGACAAGCTGGTCGGCCGGAGCAGACCTGGACGCTTCAGCCACATCTTGGACGATTTGTATAAGACCAACGCCCTGCCTCCAACAGCCCGACGCAGCCGGATAGGAGTTCTGTACGTTCCTAAAGGACAAAACCTGGCCGACATGCACATAGTGATCAATGGTGAGGACATGGGCGCTTCGGCCAGGGGAATCCCCGCCAGCCAGCCCCTCTACGCAGTGGTGGACGTTTTCGCTGCCACAAAGTGCGTCCGAATTGTCCAGGTGGACTACGGCTGTGAGTGTCACGATGATACTTTTGAACATGGATGGAATGTACAATGTCTCTTATTGTATACCCCGCAGGGGGACTTTCAAAACAAGAAACAATGATTCACTGTACATGTGCAAGTCTTTGGGGATTTCTGCAATTGTTTTGTTCCTTTTGTGAAGTCTATATGTGGTCACTTTGGTCTACTTTATATTTTTTTTTACAGTTTGAGTTTTTAAATGTGTTTCGTGTCGCTGTGGGTGTCATTGGTGTCTTTGTGCTTTTCAAGGGGGCATGTTGTTGTTGTGTTATTCTTTTGTGCCAGTTGAAATGTCCATTTCAATCCTTTGTTATTTTCCTTCTCGAGCTAAACTTCTACCTTTTTTCTTCCCTTTTTTCCTGCCGCCCCTAGTCTCGTCCTTGCAGACGTTGTGCAGGAAAGCCATTCAGAAGCACATAGTCCACAGGATGGCCATTGACTGGCTCGAGTTGCCCGAGGCACTAAAGCACTACTGCAAGTACGAGTGAAGGATGTTGGCCGGGGGTGAAACGGAGCATCGTGAGCTTACTCCTCAAATGATTTTATTAACTAAACTCTTATGTGTTTCATTCTTAAAATAAAGCGGAAAGTGATGCCAAACCAAATAAAGCTTACTTATCTTTTCTGTGATGGGGGCTTTAATATTAGAATAGACTTTCTGTTTGGTTTATGCCTCACTTTTATTATCAAATAGCCTGAGTGGAATATTTAAACAGTAGCAGAGAATTCACTCAATATGAAACCACCACGCTTGAACTAGCAGGCGAGATCATATCAGAATCTGATTTACTGGTCCTTATGCATAAAGCTCTTGGCAAACTGCCATCATATCTCATAGATTTCATAGTACGATATCCTCCCAATAGAATCAGACTGCAGTTCTACTTTTGGTTCCTGTGGTTTCTTACAGTAGAATGAGAGGAAGAGCCTTCAGTTATCAGGCTCCTTGCTGTGGAACCGGCTGCCAGTTTGGGTTCAGAAGGTAGACATCCTTCTATACCTTTAAAGACTGGGTTCCAACGTTTTCTTTTTTGTTAAAGCTTATAGTTTAGGATATAATAGTTATACTATCATACGGCCAGGCTACAGGATAGCTCTCATTCCTATCCTCTCTTTAATCTCCATTTCATCCTGTTAAAAAACGTTTTTTTCTTACAATATTTTGCTTGTGCACATTCAGGATGGAGACCGGAGGTGAAGTTTAATTTCGATCTGTTGATACGAAACAAGAAATCATTGCGTGGTGTCTGCCTTTTCCCCTCTACCACAACTTATTTAGGATGTGAAAAAAAGTCCTGGGGTCCATTGAAAAGCCTTTTGACATGGCTGTTGCTTTTTCTGATCAACAAAATACCATTGTCCTCTATTCATTCCTTATTTAGCATTTGTTGGGGATGCTGCTTTCTCCTTTATACCTGGCGGCAGCTTTTGGGGTTACCAGACTGTAGATACATGACAGGTATCTACAGCTATGACAACATTACACAACACCTGCGGTGGACATCCACATAAAGAAAAGGGAGAAATTTTGTCTTACAAAATTACTTTAATCTCTGGAAATGAGTTTCTATGCTATTTGGTGAGACGCTAGTGGTAGTTTATTGTTCAGACAGGGACCAGGGGCCGAGTCACGTCGTTGCAATCTTTGACAGATAAGACATTATGAGCACATTTGTGTCAGTTCGCCCAAATTCCCATTTGAAATCAGAGTTTACATTTGCTGTCCACATCTGGAAGTCATTTTTTTCTCTCCAAATCTTCAACGCACACGAAAAAAAAAGAATAAAACCTGATTTGTCATGTGTCTGTGCTGAGACAGCGTTCTACTCCAACGCCATGAGGAAGGATTCTGCCACTGGGTCCTTGTTCAGCTCAGCAGATGGAGGTTAAACTAAAAGTCAGCATACAATCATTGTGAAATGGTTGCTCTTTTCAAATTGCTCTTCAGATGGTCTTAATATCCTGTAAAGAAAGATTTGGGCTTCAGGGGACAGAGCAGAAAATGAAGCAATCAATATAAATCCTTCTACTGTAAACACCTTTTTCCTCTAACAATCAAAACCACCACGGTCTGATATGTGTGCTTAAAAATCCAAGCTCAGTTTAATGAGTCATTTTTATATATATCTTTTAAATATATATATATGTATATATATATACACACATACATATACATATATATGTGTCTATATATATTTATATATTATTCCTACAAATACATGGTTTTCAGCACTTTGAAAAACGTTCACTTTCCTCAGTTAACCAAGAAAGCTAGAAATATCCTACAGTGAAAAAAAGACAAACCATTGACCCTGAAAAAAAAAAAGAAACAAAGAAGAGAAAAACTCACAAAGAAAGGACATGAAAGTAACGATCAAGTCGAAATGAAAAACAACATCCTGTACAAACACTATGGCCCAATAATTTAAGAAAATAGTGTCTCTAAAACGTTCATATTGCTTTGTACCTCCACCGTTCGGGTCCGCCTCGCACCGCCCCGCGCAGTTCTGACCGCCACCGCCGAGGGCGCCCAATCCCGGGTGCTCGATGGCGCCCCGGCGGCTGAAGGGGGGGGGCGTGCAGGCGTCGCAGGAGAGAAACAGTCATGTTTGTTGTCTCACTTGTCCACGTCTTCTAGGTGTTTGTTTTTTGGCAGTAACAATACAAAGACAAGGGATGGTCACGCTACTACAGTACTGCACTCCTCATGAAACCAAGGATGTAATTCACTGTTTGTCGTAGTTTTACCATTATTACTTTCTACAGCATTATTACTAGAACTATTACCATCACGGATACACAAAGTGCATCGTGTGTGTGTGTGTGTGTGTGGAGAACTTGTCCGGCTGTGTGTGTGTGTGTGTATGGGTCTCGGGGATGGTGTGTCAGTGTTCAGTGCTCAGAGCTCGTCTTGTCGAAGGAGAAGCTGGGAAGAGTCAACAGCTTTGGGTTGGGGTTGGGTAGGCCCCCCTCCTGTCCGGGGCCCTCCCCGGCCCCCAGGTCGAACGAGTCCTTGGAGTCACTAGAGGGCGCCCTCCTTCTCAGGCAGGTGTCCCTGCTGGGTACGGGGGGGGGCATCCCCAGCCCCCCCAGCCCGCTGAGGCCGGGGTACAGGCCGCACTGGGGCTCCGGCCCGTCGGGGGGGTCCACGGATATGCAGGGCGGGCTCATCTTCTTCTTGCGGAGCGGGGAGGGCTGGGCGGAGCGGCTGGGGATCTGCAGGCCGTCGGCCTGGGACACGAAGCCGGAGGAGGCGGAGGCGGAGG